CCCCATACAGGAGTGCCTGGGTTCAAGTTCTGCCCCCACTCTGATGCCAGCTTCCTACCACGCGGATCCTAAGAGGAAGCATGTGATGGCTCAAGTACTGGGATCTCTGCGACACTCTGGGTGGGAGACCTGGACTGAGTTCCCACTCCCAGCTGTGGCCTGCTCAGCCCCAGCTATTCTGAGTACTTGGGAAGTGAGAAACAGGATGGAAGATCAATCTCTCTGGCTTTCAAATAAACGAAAACTTTTTAAAACTAAGAGAAATATGTATCAGGTTTATAGAAACCGTGCAATTTTTCTGTAAATAAAAATTGACAGGCCAACATTGTGGAGTCGAGGGTTAAATCACCAACTACGATGCCAGCATCTGAGCAGTGGTTCAAGTCCTGGCTGCTCTGCTTCCAATCCAACTTCCTGCTAACACACCTGGGAAAGGAAGCCGCAAATCATGGCCACACTGCCACGCATGCAGGTGCCCTGCCAGTATGGGTCCTGACTACTCCGCTCCTGATCCAACTTGCAGCTAATAGACCTAGGAAGACAGTGGAAGATGCCCCCAGTACTTCAGCCCTGCCACCTGGGTGGGAGACCCAGGTAGTGTTTCTGGCTCCTAGCTTGAGCCAGGCCCAGACCTGGTTGTCGTGGCCATTTGGGGAAATAACTCATGGAAGATGAGATTGCTTCTCTCTTTCCCCAGTGCTCTGCCTTTCAAAGATATAAAGAACAAATCCTTTTTTAAAAATATGTTCTAATTCAAAAGAACTAAAGAAAGATGGGAAAGGGAAGACACAAAGAATTTAAAAACAAATCTCTTCCTTGAGCAGCCTTTCATGGCAGCAGCCCTCCAAGGGAAAGACACTGGAACAGATTGCGAGCACTAAGGAAGAAGATCAAATAGCCAGAAACAAAGAAAATAAAGTTCTTGTATTGGAATCAGGAAATGAGAAATAAGACTCCTGGCCTCTTGCAACAGGGAAAAAAGGAGCCGTGTGTTTGTATGTGAATATCGGTTTTCCTTCTGACCGCTCAGTCCTCCCAGATGCAGCCCAAACGTGAGCCCGGGGAGCATTTCCTGCACTCCACCACCACGCCCCCACCACTCCATCACACCCCAGCAGTCATCAGCTCTGGCCCAAACTGGACCACCTTGGATCTATCAGATGCCGGAGCCAGGCCTGGCACTAGGAGTAGGAGGCCCTACTTCTCAGATGCAGCCATGTGAAAATGAGCAGTCTTTAAGCCCACCGCTGATGCTTAATAAATGCTCCTTGAACAAACTGAAGTCGGGCACATATATTTCAGTACATTCATGGGAAAATAGAACATTTTATATATACATTATAATTATATACATGGATTTCAATTTTTTTGCACCCAAACTAGTCTTATTTTTTTAAAGAGACTCATTTCATTTTTATTGGAAAGTTAGATATACAGAGAGGAGGAGAGACAGAGACGAACATCTTCCCTCTGCTGATTTACTCCCCAAGTGGCTGCAATGGCCACAACTGAGCTGATCCAAAGCCAGGAGCCAGGAGCTTCCTCTGGGTTTCTCACACACACAGGTGCAGGGTCTCAATACCTTGGACCGTCCTCAGCTGCTTTCCCAAGCCACAAGCAGGGAGCTGAATGGAAGCAGGGCCACCAGGATTAGAACCTGCACCCATATAGGATCTCAGTGCATGCAAGGTGAGGGCTTTAGCCATTAGGCTACCACACTGGGCCCCCTCCAAAGTCTTAAACCTTTCTAGTGCCCTACCCAGTTGAGGTAAGGTCCATTCAATCTGCATCTACACGAGGGGTGCAGAGAAGCAGCACAAGCAGGGAAAACGAGCCACTATCTTTTTTTCCCAAAGTTAGAAGAGACTGAAAACAGAGAAAAGCCTGCACATTGGGCCCGTAGCGGTTCAAGTCCTTGCCTTGAATGTGCTGGGATCCCATATGGGTGCTGGTTCTAATCCCAGCAACCCCACTTCCCATCCAGCTCCCTGCCTGTGGCCTGGGAATGCAGTTGAGGACAGCCCAAAGCTTTGGGAACCTGTACCCGCATGGGGGACCTGGAGGAAGTTCCTGGCTCCTAGCTTCAGATCGGCTCAGCTCTGGCCGTTGCGGCCACCTGTTGAATGAACCACTGAACAGATCTTCCTCTCTCTCTCTTCTCCTCTCTGGATATCCATCCTTCCAATAAAAATAAATAAATCTTTAAAAAAAAGAAAAGCCAGCACATTGCACGTACACAGCAAGCCTCCCGGGAATGCTGACCACGACCCGCCAGCCTGGACAACAGCACTTGGGGACACGGATAAGCAGCAGGCAGTGCAACTTCCCAGAACAGGAGGTCCGCTGCACACAAGGGAAAAACAGAGCAAAACAGCCAAGGTCCTGCTGTCTCTGCAGCTCGTCTCTATGCTCACACATTAACACGTTTCAGAAGCTTTAAAATAGTTGTTCTTCCCTAATCTGACTATATCAACGCTTCTATTTTGTAATATTTGTATTTCATGAATACTCACAAATGTGTATTTTCCCTGTTTATTTATCTTTTATCACCTGTATAAGTGAAAGTCAAAAAGTTTATGCAAAATGGAATCAAATCAAAAGATCAATTTACTTTGATGCAAAAAAAAAATTGAAATTTGCATAGCTCTTACATAAAACACATATGGGATCCGGGTGCGTGCAAGGTGAGGACTCTAGCCACTAGACTACCATGCCAGGCCCAAGTCATTTCTCTTCATTCTACTTCCCAAGAACGTTTTGAAGCAGCCTCACAAGCTCTGACAGGGAAAGTCCTATTAGTAGCCATCCTGTTTCCAGGAGCCTGTGTGGATGTGGCGGCAGGAGAAAGCAGGCAGAAGGCGCACTAAACGCCTGTTGCATCTAAATACCTGCCCAGTCTCAGAGGGCCAGACTTTCAGCTCACTGGCCTCATCTTACAGGCAGAGGAAAATCAAGGCTGAGAGAACAGCAGAGACTTATGCAAGGCACACAGCAAGTTCCAGCAGTACTTAACCCCTGCAGTAACCCACCCTCCAACTCTTCCCAGCAAGTGCAAGGTCGACAGTTACTGAAGAAGTAATACTAAAAGCTGCTATCTACTCAACATCTGCTGGATCCCGAGCCCGCGCTAACAGCACCCACCGTGCTCTCATGTTACAACTAGAGAAACCAAGGTCAGAGAGGAAACCAACTGGGAAGTCTTCGAGGACTCACACACCAGAACCCCATCTGTGGCGTGATGCTCATCTTTATCAGCAGGTGCAGTTTAAACACCTTCTGGGAATGTGCTCAGGCACTCCTCATCACAACCCTGGGATGGAAGTACCACCTGTGTCCCCAGTTCACAGATGAAGAAACCAAAGCTCCAGGCAGCAAGCCTGGTCCACAGAATCAGAACAGCACAAAGTCTGCCTGCAGCTTCCTATGGAACCCAGCACACAATCCCGCCACCCAGCCACTGCACTGACAGAGAAACGGGCGGAGAAATGAAAACCTGCGTGCACGCAATGACTTGTGAGACAAACGTTTACAGCAGCTTCACTTGAAATAACCAAAGACTAGCAGCAGCAAGCTGAGGAAGGGAAGCATAGTAAGGCACATAAAAACTCAGCTAGCCAAAGGAAACCACCATTGATACAACCAATGCAACAATGTGGATAAAACTCTGCAGTTAGCTCAGTGAGGCAGGGCCAATCCCAAAAGGCTACATACCATGATTGCACGTAAGGTTTTTGAAGTGACAGAATTTTACAAGTGGAGAACAGACAATGCTTTGGGGACTGCGGACAGGAAGGGGACTTGGGGAGGCGTGGGTGTGGTTACAAGCATGAGAGATCCCTTTGATGAGCTGTCCTGCATCTCAACAAGGGGGAATACACACATCTAACGTGATAAAGCTGTGTGAAACCAACACACACGCGCACACACACACACACACACACGAGTATCAGGGGCTGATATGAATTACGCCAAAATATACTGGTTGTGATACCATGTCATTATTTTTGCAAAATGTTACCACTTGGAAAAGCTGCACACATAACAACTCTCTCCACCAAAATGCCGATTGGAAACTACCCTGCCTGCCCAACAGCCAGGCTAAATCAACCTTCCCTAATTCTTCCATTTCCAAAACCCGCAGTTCTTACTGTGTTCAAAGCCAACATTCTCTCCACCATGCCACACAACAGCTTTAAACACCAAAGCAAAAGCAAAATCTGGGCATGGGAAAAACTGAAAATAAGCCACTATTTTACAAAATTATGCACCAGGAGGCACTCTGAAAATCATTCCAAATAGGTTCATCTCTTTAACCTCTGGCAAAAGATAGAAAATGTGATACCCCAACCATGTCACCTCATCAAATATGTTTTCCTTATCCCTATGTGCCACGCCCAAACCCACATACCTCCACAAAAGAAGCCACTATAAACACTTCAATTCTGCCATCTCTCATGAATGCAGCAAACGATTAGTACGGGACCCTGGCAAAGGCAGCTCCCCAGTGGCCAGCTGCCCCTGGGAAGCAGCGCAGCAGGAACCGGGAAAGGGGGTTACCGGGCATCCCTCAGTAACACCTGATTCAGGCCAGCGTTAAGGTCCACTCGCCCAAAAAGAAACACATGCGCCCCGCACGCCGCCACGTGTCCTGAGGCCCCGGGCGCCCACCTGCTCCAGCTGTTACCGCCCGTGGTTAGTTCTAACACCTAACGGTGCGAGACGCCCGTCCTCAGAGCCTGCCGGTGCAGTGCCCGGAGCAGCCCCTAGAGCTTTCGATGCAGATTTCTGGCTACAAACCCCTCTGAACTGAGAAAGCCGCCCTCCGGACAGGGGAAGGGCAAGAGTTGGGAAGTTTGAGGAATCGCCCGGGGCTGGGCGAGGCCGCCCGGGGCTGGGCGTGGGGCACCACGGATCTCGAACGCGGGGGCCTGGAGGTTGACGGACGGGCCGGCCCGGGCCCGAGGGCTCGTGGGCAGGTGTCCAGGCACCGCTGCACTCACCGTGCGTGCTCCGCTTCGCTTCCCGGTAGCGATCCCACAGGTAGCTCTTCATGTCCGGGGCGGCCCCGGGGGCAGTGCATAAGGGCCGGGTGGTGGCCGCCTGCGGCCGCCCGCGCCCCACAACCCCGCAGCCGCCCCTCAAGGCGGCCGCCGCCCTCGCCCCAACCCCGCGGGCCGCCGCCGCTGCCATGCTCGCCGCCGTAGCCGAGCCGTCCGCCGCCGAGCTGTGAGAGACGCCGCGGGGCCGGCCGGCGTTCCAGAAGCTCAGTCCGGCCGGAGGGCGGAACCCTGCGTCGGAGCACGTGGCAGGGCGGCCCCGCCCACCGGGGGCCGCGGGGCGGGGCCTGGGCGTGCGGGGCAGGACCTTGTGAGGAGGGGCTACGGGACGAGCGGAGCCTGGGCGTGCGGGGCGGGGCCTGTGGGGAGGAACTACGGGATAGGGCGGAGCCTGGGCGTGTGGGGCGGGGCTTGTGGGCGAGGGGCTATGGGGTAGGGCGGGGCCTTATGGAGGAGGGGCTACGGGACGGGCCTGGGCCGAGCACGTGGCAGGGCGGCCCCGCCTACAGAGGCCGCGGGGCGGGGCCTGTGTAGAAGAGGGGCGGAGCCTGGAGCGTGGCCCGGGCCTGCGCCCGAGCAGGTGGGCAGGGTGGCCTGGACTGCAGGGTCCTGGACTGCAGGCGCTCTTCCTGGCCCTGCGGCGGTGCGGCGGCGCGCAGGCCAAGCGAATGTCCTGACAGCGAGACGTGAGCCCGACCCCAGTGGAGTCGCGCAGTACCTTCCGAGGCCGTCCTCCAACTCTGACCGCCCGGCAGTGTCCCCGCCTCGCCCTGGCTGCAGAAGGTGACCTCTTTGCAGGCTGCAGTTCCTGTGGGTCACGCGGGCCAGGTTGGGACATCCCCTGAGCTTGGATCCATCCAGGTCCGTTCTCCATAACGGGACGCAGCTCCTCTTCTCCCCTCCCACCCCACACAAGTGAGACGACACCAAGCATGTAGGACCCCCAATAAAGTTGAAGAGCACCACCACTGCAGAGTCCCGGGGGCCACGCCCCACCGCAATATCTGCCTCCATTGATTGGTCCTCTGGACTTGCTCACCGGCTCACCAAGAAACAGCACCCTTCCCACCAGGTGGCATTCAGTCCACACTCACTGTTATCCCTTCCCAGCCCGGCCTCAAGGATTTCAAGCTGCGTCCGGGTTAACGCTGAGCGGACGCTGGAAAGAATAGAAGCCGAGCTCTCATCTCGTCTTGTGCGAACAAGAGGGGTACGGGTTAAGACAAACCTATGGTTTGACAGCGCAAAGTAGACCTTGTGGGCTTGGGGGTGGGAGGCGTAGCCGACGACAAGCCAGGACCACCGCGGTTTATGGGAGCTGGGAGGCCGCAGTTCTCTCGGTAGTGTAAGAAACAGGTGCCCCAAGAGGAGGTGGGAAGGATTTGTAGGATTTGGTTAGGTAACAGGGAAGAAGTTGACCGGTGGGTAATCCTGGTTACAGCTTGACAAATCACCAATAAATTGAGGGGTTAAAAAATGTGAAAACCAGATACAGTATCAATCAATGCACTCTAGTGCTTGGTACACGGTTTCAGTTTATTCTAATTTGTATCTTCTTTGTTTATAAAATGGTTCAGTGGCAGCAATGTGTAAATCTTATGCTGAAAATTAATTCATAAGTCTAAAATAAATTATGCACACATAGCATAATTAAAACCTTAAATGGTTCATGTTTAGAAATGAAGTATTATGTGATGAAAATTGTTCTACCTACCTTAAAAAGTGGGACTCACTGGGCCTGTGACACCAATACAGGGGCCAGTTTGAGTGTCTGTGGCTGCACTTCCTAACCCAGCTCTCTGCTACTGGCCTGGGACAAGCAGGGGCAGATGAACAAAGTGCCTGACTCCCTGTAACCCACATGGCAGATACACGGAGCCCTGGCCTCTGCCGGGCCCAGCTCCGGCCATTGTGGCCATTTACACAGTGAACCAGTAGATGGAAGATGTGTGTGTGTGTGTGTGTGTGTGTGTGTGTGTGTGTGTGTAGTAGCTCTACCTTTCAAATAAATACATCTTTTTTTAAAAAAAGATTCATTTAAAAATCATCCCTTTTAGCTACAAGTATTTGGGAGAGAATATCCAATCAAATAATCCTACATAATCAGATGGGTGGATGAAAGTGTTGTGCGCTAAGGAGTTGATTAGCACTCATTGAGCTGGGCAGGAACTGGGCTTGTGGCTAAAAACACCTAGACTAACTGGACTCATCTGGATCCAATATCCTGCTAAATGAGGATGTGGGGAAGAATATATAAGGAGAGCTAAAGGAGCAATAAAGGGAGACTTCGCAGAGACTTCTACCATCACTGGTCTGTCGGTGCTTCATCCCCAGACCCTCTCCCTGTCCACGTTACTGGCTCTGCTAGTTGGAGCAGAAAAGAATTTATAGACACACCAAGAGCTCACAGTTTTTATTCCCTATTAATATCATCGGAGGTCTTCTTCGACAATCTTGTTTCTGTTTGAGAGCTTCTCAGCATAAAACACTTCTGAGGACTGGCACTAGAATCTGGGCTATGGAAAAGCCACTTTTCAGATATGAGCTCAAGTCGGTGTTCCCAAGAGTTCTCGGTGCTGGGTGGCCCTAGCAGTGGGTGGCGGAAGAGTGTGGTGATCTGGCAGTCCCCACGCTCCCTTTTAGCGGACAAACTCCTTGGCCCCGAACGTTCTGAGAAGCTGTTTGTTTTCTGCAAGGATGAGATCCTGGAGGGATGCTTTTCCGTCTGCCTGGATGCTTCCTCCCCAGGGCCATTCCATGTCTGAGTAGGGCTTTGTGGCTTTCGGTGGGTCTTCTCATCAGCAGAAAGGCAGAGAACAGGTCTTGAGGTCTGTTTCCCTTTCCTCGATGTCCATTTTGGTCTATCGGAAGGCACAGCAGGTGCTGAGTCCCTGCTTTTGGCCCTCCACAGCTTGCTGGCATTGGCCCACATCGTGGAGCTCACTGTGTCAGAGCTCTGAGCACTGCAGTAGTTTAACTTCAGCAAGTGCTTGTACAGTGAGGAGTCGCTCCTGGGGCCCTCCAGAGAGGGACGGCTCCTGCCCTGAGGCCACCATCTCCCACCCTTGAGCAGCTGGATTTCCTTCAGAAGGCTGCAAGAGATATGAGACGTTGGGTCAAATGAATCATAGTTCTGTTTTGTTTGTTTGAGACTTGGATTAGAGACTCACCACAGGATTCCACGGATTGAGGAATGAGAAGGCCCCAGGTGGGTTGCCCTTAAACCAAGTGATCTGTGCAGGTAACTCTCGGCCTCTGTCAGGGTGTGGTGACGTGAGTCACACCTCAGTAACTGACCTGCTGGGTATGTGAAAATCAGAATAGAAGACATTTTTAGAAAATGACTATTAGAACCACATGTTTGAAGGACAAGAATTTGGCAGTCAGTTGGCCTAGCCATTAAGAAACCTGTGTCCCACATCAGCATTCCACTCCCAACTGGTTCCACTCCAACTCCAGCTCCTGAATTCCAGGTTCTGCTGCAGTGTATCCAGGGAGACAGCAATGACGGCCCAGGCGATGGTTTTCCTGCTACCCACGTGGGAAACCCTGAAGGAGTTTACAGCTCCCACCTATAGCTCTGAGCCACTGCAGGCATCTGTAGAGAGAATCAGAAATAGCATCCCTCTGTCTCTCTGTCACTCGCTTGCTCACACACACATTTCAAACAAAAAAGATAAAAACATTTTTAAGAGTTGGCATCGCAACATTATTGTAAGAGTGCCAAAAATATTGAATCTGAATCTAATCATAAACAACTGAAGAATAAAAGAACAAAGGGAAGGACACTTGGGGCAGGATGGGAAGAGCCAAATATGGGTTAAACCCTTCCAAAAATTGCCCATGTCATGAAAAACAAAACAAGGTTACCAAAATGCAAGATCCACAATGGGATTCTGGTTCAAAAAGGACATTACTCAGCTATTTAGGGGGAATATGAATATTGGACTATACATTATTTGCTAGGTAAGTCTCTTGGGTTTGAATAAGATTGCCATGGTTTTATTTGGGACTTTATCGCCCTGGGAAGAAAAATGCTGAAGTATGTAGCAATACATTAAACTGACATGTTTGCAACTCATCAGATGGTTCAGAACAAAACCATTGACATCAGTTTCTGGCGTGTCTTTCCAGAAGTTTTCAGCACACATTTACTTGTCTTTTAGAGATGGCAAACATGAGAAAGGTTAAGTGATTGTTCTAGTTCATGGTAAAGCCATGCAAGCTTAGCTCATCCCCGAGACCACACCCTCGACTCCTCCCGGAGGCTGCCGCATCCCCACGGTGCTTTGGCTTGCAGAGATGGTTCTGTCTCCATAGCTATGCTTCAAGGGACAGAGCCTACATCTCAGACTGCCTGCAGCTTTGTCTGGAAATCAGATAAATTCCTCCAATCAGAGACTGAGTTTCAGCTGTTGTCTCCACTTAGCAATCAGTCCGGATTGGTTTTTTCTCCTTTGTGAATTATTGTCATGACTCCCTGTGATATATGTTGCCAGTTGCCTCAAACTAGCTCAGCAGAATACACTGTGAACTACTCTGTCGATGACGACCAACTTGCCCTAAAAGGGAAAGTGGGGCCCGGCGCGGTGGCGCAAGTGGTTAAAGGTCCTCGCCTTGCACGCCCAGGATCCCATATGGGCGCCAGTTCTAATCCCGGCAGCACCGCTTCCCATCCAGCTCCCTGCCTGTGGCCCGGGAAAGCAGTCGAGGACGGCCCAAGGCTTTGGGAACCTGCACCCACGTGGGAGACCCGGAAGAGGCTCCTGGCTTCGGATTGGCATAGTATCGGCCGTTGCGCTCACTTGGGGAGTGAATCATCGGACGGAAGATCTTCCTCTCTATCTCTCCTCTCTGTATATCCGCCTTTCCAATGAAAAAAATAATAAAAATAAATCTTTAAAAAAAAAAAAAAGGGAAAGTGCAGAAGATCAGAAACAGAGTGGCTCCCATGGTATCTAGGCAGGAAAGAACCCGCTGGCAGAGATTAACTTGCCACCAGCATCACAACCTGCAAGTGTGACCGCTCTGCCTGACTTGCTGCATGACTGAGACTTTGACACAAGGCAGCTCAGGCCCACAGGTTAGGGACCCACTGCCTCACACCCTGACCACTGCTCCCTCAAATCCTTCCTGACCACACAGACTCCCCCGGACCATTTTCCCATCACAATCCATGCTGGAGCCATAGCCATAGCTGTGACCTCACAACTTTCTTGGGCATGCTTTGATTCATTCTTCCTGGTAGCCAGCAAGCTGCCAGGAAAGGACATCCCTACCCCAGCCCCAGCCCCAGCCCCAGAGTCCATCCCTTGTCTTGGAGCCAGAACAGGATGGCCAGCCTCATTAGTTCTCCCCCAACCAGACAAAAGGCCAGGATGTGCTCCTTTAAGCCATAGAGAAGTCTCAACCTCCTCCCACTCAAGCCTTTGCTCTGGATGGGGAGAGAATCTGACATTTCATTATGCAGTCTGTAAGCTGTTTTGCATATCCTTCAGAATAACCCGATACAGGCAGACATTATTACCCTCTTCTAGCCAGGAAGAAAATTGAGACTCAGAGATGATTAGGAAGCCTAGAAATACCAGAACGTGGATACCAACTTAGACCCCTAGGATTTGAGACTACAACTTCCAAAATGAACAACATAATTCTCCTAGTTGCTTCGGCCCCTTGGGAGATTTTTTTCCCCCAAAGCAGCTGTGAAGGAATCACCAGTTACTCTTTCCAAAGTGCACTTTTGTATGAGGCCGTACCCACCTTAATTTCTTTTCTTTTCTTTTCTTTTCTTTTCTTTTAAGGAGAGAGATATCTTTTGTTTATTTATTTTTCTTCATTATTATTATTTTATTTTGATAATCTTTACATAGTTGATTCGGGTGCAAAGAGTCAAGGTTACAGGAAAGTGGGTAATACTATTGTTTCCACATTCTGTTTTTTCCTTCCTGTGTCTGGGGGAAGATGAGAGACAAAGGGAGAAACCACGCCCAGCCTCCCAACCACCCCAGGGTCCCTGATGTGGGGCATGCTCCGAGGGCACTGTTCAAGTGGTTTTGATAGTTCAACAGTTTTGAATTTTGCCAATCTCACCATTCCAAGCATGATGAAATCTCTCCAGAACCCACTGGCTGACACAGTCCACCTTAGAGTCTCCATTTCCCCAGATTTTCACTGCCAACACTTGGTTGCGATAGTTGATCAATTTGTTCTGTCCTCTGTCATGGTACCAAGTGCTCTCTGCAGGCTCAATTGTACTGTCATATCCTCCATATGTACCTGGATATGCTGTCCACTGCTCTGTCTGAGCCACTGAGGAGGCTCAGCTTTGACAGACGCATTCTATGGTCAGACCATGGATTTTTCTCCATACAATTTTCTCCATGGTTGAAGTTCTGAGTTCAGCAGTTCAGTTGGGAGATCCTCAAAGAAACTTCATCTGAGGTGATCCCAGACCTGATTCTTGTGTGTGCTTGCCAATACAGGGTCCAGCACAGTCCATCATCCCAATCAGCTTATGCATATGCTGGTGGTTGCAATTGCTGGGTCAGTTCTGCCTCCAGCCCTGTTTTCTACACAAACCAGTGGATGCTGGAGCCCAGCCTGATCCTGCCCACCATATACTCAGCGCTACACAAACCAGTGGGACCTGTAGCCTAGTTGGAGCGACTCCCCATAACCCCCACCATGCCCGCCCCCTGCCCTGGTTCCCGCATTTGCCAATATGTACTACAGACTGGTCCAGTCTGTCCTATCTCCCATTCAGCTTTTATACATGTCAATGGGCACTGAAGCCTAGTTCAACCCAATCAGCCCCACTATCCAGTCTACGCCTGTGCCAGTGGGTGCCACTCTCTGTTTAGCTTTGCCTGCCCCAGTCCTGGTTCTCATGTTCATCAGTCAGAGTTGCAACCCACGAGGGAGGTGCCCACTGTTTCCCTAATGGGCCCACTCCTACTCCCAGATCCTGCACTCTCCAGGTGGTTCTGCAGTTTAACTTGACAAAATCAGCCCCCCAGTGCCAGCCTCTGCCAGTTGATGCTACAGCAAAACCCAACCAACCCACACCCACTCTGACTTATGCTTGCACCAATAGGAACAGTCAATCCAGCTAGCTCTTCCCTGATCCAACTCACATGAGGCCAACAGGTGTTGTAGCCCTACCCGGTCTGATCTGCCCCTGTCCCAACTCACGCTCTCCAGTGTGAGTAGTGGTCCAGCAGGGGAGCCCCATGCAGTCCCCCTACTGGCTTTGCCCCTTCCCCCCCCGGGTCTCATGTGTACTGGCTGGGTGCTGTGGCCTGGTCTTGCATGACCCACCTCACCTCGGCATTTGCCAGTTGGTGCTGTAGCCTGGCCCGGCCTGGCCCACCCCAAATTCCAGCTCACACTGGTAGGGGCTATAGCCTAGCCCAGCCCAGCCAGCACGCAGTCCCAGCATTATGTGTACTGACATGTGTTGTGACTGAACCTGGCACAACCCACATCCCATTCTGGTACTCAGATTCTCCAGCAAGTAATGTAAACTGGCCCTGCCTGGTCTGCCCCCAACCTGTGCCAAATGTATGCCACTGGTTACCATTCCCTGGCCTGGGCCTGGCTACTCCCTATTGTGGTCCTTGAAGTCACTTGAAGTGCCTGTGTCCTGACAGGGGAGTTTCCCCAAGCTCCTCCATCAAAACTTCTCCCAATGCCAAATCTCATACATACCGGTAGGTCTATGGACAAGCCCTACTCCATCCACCTCCTGTCTTGTTAGGAACAGTGGCCTTTCCTGGCCAGCCTTCAACCCATTCCAGTTTTTATTGTTGGGTGTTATAGCCCAGCCAAGCCTGGTCCACACCCAGACACAATTCATACCTGGCTCAGCAGGGTCAAAAACCTAGCCTAGCCAGTCCTACACTTACCCTGTGCTGGAGTCCAGCCCAGTCCAGCATGCCCAGCCCCACTCCACACTTGTGCCAAGGGACATGCAGCCATATCTAGGCCAGAATGCAACCCCCACTTCAGCTCCCACACTCACCAGTAGGAACCACACCCCAGCCAGGCCATCCCCTTAGCTTTCCAACCAGGCCTGTTTCCAGCCATAGATCTTGAGTATGCCAATGGTTGCCCTGAGCTAGCTTGGCAAAGTCCCTCCCGTCATGACCTTTGCCTTTGGATGCTGTAACCTGGCCTGACTCGGCCTGCCCCCAGTCCTGACTCTCACGGGCAGGTGCTAGAACCTGGCTCTGCTCAGTCTGTTCTCATCCCTGGCTCATGCAAACTGGTGGTGTGACAGCCTAGTCCGGTATGACCTCTGC